GTTTATGAAGTTAAGGTGACAGTCATTTGCAGCCATGTTGTCACTTACAGGAGAGGATGTGTTCTCTATTCCACTCGTAGAGAGCAGTTATACAAGAATGACCTGTATGTGATTAGGTTTTCTGCTTTAGAGCAGTGTAAATTCAATATTCACCAGCTACCTGAATTTAATTCATGATATGAATGGCCTGACATGCAGTGAGAACCTTGATGTGCAGTCTCACCAAACCAGAGCGCTCTGATTTTATTTAGTAAAAGTCTCTTTCATCTTGCATCAGACACAATATCCTGTGCATATCCCTTTGATTTTAGCCCATTGCTGTCATCACAAAGCAGCCCTTTTTTATGGCAGAATTCCCTAGGCACACCAGACAAATTGGCTCACACAAAGCTGCTTTATGTGAATTTAACTGGATCACCGTGGTACTGACACCTCTATTTTTCCTGTGTGTGAAACATATTCCCATTGATTAATATCTTTCCTGTTCTTAATCTGTAGCTATATTTTAATGTTTTGATTAGCCCAAATATATCTCTAGACTAGAACACTACTCCCATAGCTATGCACACCTCTCTTAGTGAGATTTTGAATTCTTAAGTTATTCAAATAATGCATTTTTTTCTAGAAGCCTCTCTAGCCTATCTAGTGCCCTAGACATCTGCTATTTTTTCTCCCACAACTGAGGTAAAAGACACCACTAAACACAAAAGGAGGTTAATTCATGTGAACATGTTCATAAGACAGCCCAGTAGAAGCTGAGAAAACAAAATAAATCTAAGTTGGACTGTCACCGTCAGTTGCAGATCAGGCTTCAACAGATGAGGCTGCTTTTGCTTAGAACTCTAGCCCAAAATAATTAGTGGGCTGTGTTAATCTAAATCTTATGGTGGGTTGAAGATTGCTTTATGTACAATGTATTATTCTTTGTCTTCCTTTCAAACGCTTTCAATGTTCTCAGTGTTCTCACATTTGTGATAGAAAATGAGTAATACTTTATGTTTTGAGACATCTAAGCCTTTTTAAAATCCCATATTTCATATAAAGTAATAATTTTACACATTTCTTTTTTTAAAGAAAAAAACCCCACAACACCATTTTAGCAAGGAAATTTAACTTAAAACCAAGCACTGCTGATCAAAAGGAAAGGTATTTCTAATTTAAAGGAAGTTGCACTAGGATCCATTATTTAAAGTTATGCATGACCAGCTTTCTTGCTTATCAGTAAGGAATTAAGCACCAAGAGCAAACAAGCAGGAGTCCATAAATTACATCCACTACAGCTAAGGACAACATAATGTTAACAGCTTCATATTCTATTCTAAATCAAAGATCTTCAGTTTTTTGATGTTGGCAAATGCTAGGCAAAATAAGCATGATATAAAAGAAGTGTGCTTACACAAGCCAGTATATAATGTAGTGGATGTCAGAATTTAACATTATATATCTAATGCTTCCAGTATTTTGAACAGGAAGTTTTGCCATAAATGTTTTTAATCTGGATGGTACTGCTTAGCTGCTGACTGTGAACACATACTTCATTTACTTTATATAGTTCTACCAACAAGTTGATGTGTGTCCTATTACCTGAATGAGACGCTGCTTTAAGGACACTTTATTATTTCTATTTCAGGATGCTTTCTGTCTCTGTAGGACTTTTCTAGTACTGCCTGATATTGATTAACTGCACAAAAAGCTTTCCATGTACATGTTCTTGTATTGCTGTGTGATGCTCAGCAGTCTCTGTGAACTCTTTATCCCTGTTAGTTTTTCCAAAGGACTCAGCATAGAGACAGAAGTAAATCTATGTCCTTCAGTTTGACCCGGAGATAACAAGACAGACTTTTTCCCCTGTCTCACTGAGGGAATATTGCAGAGGGGATGTTGAAAAATGCTTGCAACAGCTGTTACTGTAGCTTCCTGTTATTTATGGATATTCACTCCTGGTCATAATGTGCAGCACAATTGAGAATCAAAACAATTATTCATGAAGTGGAATCTAGTAGCTCTTCACTAGTGCTGGGACAAATATTTTGTAATAATTCGGAAACTAGAGCATATTGTTTGGGGTCAGCATCACAAATGATCAAAGTCTCCTTTTCCTCAGCAACCTGACATGTGATGCACACCTGGAGCATCTCTAAACTTCCTACCAAGACCAGGCAGGCCAGCTAAAGTGAAAGCCACCTCTGCTTGATAGACCTGCTCTATTACCTAGGCCATTGTCAAGGAGATTAGGTTTGCTAGATTAGGACAAAAAAACCTGTGAATCAAATAGGCAATGGTAATGGAGAACTGCTATTCATCTTTCCTTTATTGTTTGAAGAAGAAATGCAGATAAATATATGTATGCTTTTGGTCATTGTATATGGAGCTCTAAGTAAAGGACATGAACACGGGAGGCTCATAGATCTGTACTGTATGATTTCTTTACTGAATTGGAGGGACTCCATCACTGTACCATTTCTCTGCTTTTGCTTCCTGCAGCAGGAAGATTTTCACTTAACATTCAGCAAGACTGGGCATAGGAGAGGTGTTTCAGTTTTAATGGGCTGAAAATCTCATTCTGCTGCATCTATTTCATTCTAGAATTTTTGCAATGGAAAATATTAATATAATAATTCACCCTGACGTTTTCAGCAATTTGTTCTTTCTTAGTAAATTGCATATGTGTGGTTTGAAGTCGTTTATTTTAGTTATTCCTAAACCCTCCCAAGTTTGTATTTGTTTTCAGAACTAAGATCAAGTATCTTTATACAAAGTAAATTAGCAATTTGGCATGTGAAATTTTGCATCAGTGTCATTTACTATTATGGCACAACAGAGACATGAAGATGGGGGGGAAAGTGTGTTTCCAAGTACTGAACCACACAGTTTGGATTTGGACTATTTGGGAAAAACAGAGCCACCCTGAGGTTTTTCTGGGTTGACTACAAAAAGTAAAATAGTTCTAGTCTTCTCATGTAGCTATTATTCAGGACAGAATAGCAGTGTTTCGTCACTGCTATACTGACTTTCATCTTGAATCATCTGTATGGATGTTAAGTAATTAATTCCCATTACAATGAGATGAAATTAATATAATCTTCTTTCTGTTATTGGGCAAAATGAGGCCCAGGTCCAGCATTCCCTACTCTCCCCATCTTGTGTTCAGGTCTCTCTGAGTTAGCTCAAATTGCTTGCTAAAGTCATCCTTCCTTAAAGATCAAGGTGTTGCAAGATCAATAGTAGATTATGTTCTTTGCTATTAGCCTGAGCAGCTTTTTCTATTTCCCAGAACTTACTAATGTGCTATTGTATAGAGGTCATCCTTTTGCTGAATTGCTGAATAATCCAGCAGGGTGCAGGGCCGAGTTCCCTCTCCAGAAGCAGAGAGACAAAGGTAAAAATCACTTCTAGGATACAGCTGAGAAGACTTTGTTCACTTTTGTCACCTCTACATCAAAAATATTAGCAAATTGGAGAGTATTAACTGAGGAACAACAAAAGGGATTCAAGGGCTGAGGAAACTCATGTAGGTCGTAAAATAAATAATACCATAAACACATTTTTGAGGTTTCCTGATTAAAAGAGCCTGTTTTGTTTGGGTTTGGGTTTTTTTTTTTCCCTATATGCATATTGCAATGGCCATCAGATGAGCTAGAAACAAATTTCTGCAAATGCTGTTGTTTGTTATTCCATTTTAATGCGGGTGACTTCAGCCAAGAAATAAAATCTAGGTCTTACTGACACTTCAGCAACTCACAGGTTTTATCAGAACTAGCTGAGTGGAAATCAAGATGAGCTATGGCAGTGTTACATGTTTAAAAGTTGGGTCAATTTTCTTTCTGTCTTATTAGAAAAAAATATCTTAAAAAATTATCCATGTAAAGAAATATTAAAAGTCTATCTACATAATCACCTACAAGTATTTAGAAGGTATACACAAAGATGTTAGGGGAATTTTTACAAAGGTTATAATTTAGTGTAAGCTCATTATTTTCCCACATGCTTGAAAAAAAAACACATTGCAACTGGAAAGAGCAGAACTTCAAGGCTGGAACTTTCATACATTGTTTACAGCTACTACTCACATAGTTGCCAAGCTTGTGTGATAGAAATGACCCAAGGCACTGCCATCTCTTTTGTCCTTGTACTTTCATTTTAGGTAGGAAATTGCCAAGTAGGACACTTGTGTAGATTATGTAATTTTGTCCCAGTCATAAATAGGACAAATACAGGAGTCCCTTTTGAAACACTCTTCATGCTGACTTTTTTCATGTGTCGTTCTATCTGGAGAGCTATTTGCTTTCATTGTTCACTGTGTTGGATTTTTCAATTTTTCTCCAAATTTTTTTCTGTTTTTAAGGCCTCTCAAATTTATATTGATTTATGCCTGAATGAAATCTAGACCTCTGAAACAAAAGAGTATGCTTTATTATGAAAAGACAGTTTCCTTCCAGGAACCCCACCATTCTGCATTAACAAGTGTTGCATTGCCTTGGTGGTTTTGCTTTTCTTGCAAGAAGGGCTTTAATCCCTGAAGCAGAATCAAACCTACATTCTCTAACATGTCATGTCTCAGCCGGGTTCATCTGACTCCTGCTTCACCTTGCCTTTTGCTTTACCTGCCTCTGTGCATTTGCAGCACAGCTTGATGCCCCCTGTGTCCTCCTGCCAGGGCTTTGCCTACGCCTCAGAGCAGGGAGCAGTGGGGAGGGCACAGCCTGTGCTGCAGCTGAAGGTAGGAAGGACCCCCAGGATGGCACACACTCCAGCTGCAGCAGCTCCCCCCGCCACCCTGCAGCCTAGGATCTAACCCAGTACATGTGCTGTGCACACTGGGAGAAAATAAGTTTGCATTTGAAGCAAAAATTTTCCATCTCTCACAAAGTCCAGCCTACCTGGCCTTGCAGTCACTCCTGTTTCTCGTGGGTAAACGTTTACCACTTCAGTGTAGACACCATGCCCCAGCACCACCTTTCAGCATTGTGCTCATAAGTGTATTTTCTCTCTCTTTGCAGGGATATGTAGTTGATGAACATGCAGCCATGCAAGCTCGATGGGAAGAGGCATCTAGAGAAACAATCAAGAAGACAACCAAGCCATGCCCCAGCTGCAATATTCCAGTAGAAAAAAATGGTAAATTTGTTAGATATCTTGTACTTAACTGTCCTTTAAAATTATTTTTACAATATAAATATATGAATGTTCACATGTATGTATGCACACTATTATTCCAAGAGAGGGAGAGTGCAAAGAGCTGTCACTTTAAATTATCTTGAAATCACTAAATCTAAATCACTAATTAAGCATCACAAAATACCCAGCTATTATAGAGAGAGGAAAAATGAAGCACAGAGACACTGGATGTAGCATTCATATGATTAAATGTCCAGCTAATTTTCTAAATTTTCCATTGTCACTGGAAAAAACAGACATTTGTAGGGCAAAACTCATCTCATGACAAAACAAAATATGTGTCTAATGTAGGCCAGAAGAATTGCACCTAAAAGTGCGGTATAGGGAATTAGTCCTTCTGTAGATGTCTACGCAGTATATACCTGAATTCGATGAGATTAATCTCAACCCAGTGACATGCCCACAGCAGAAGAGCAAGTCACAGGAAGAAATATGAGCCCTGACAAACTGGTTGCACTAACCAGTGCTTGCCACATAGGAAGAAAAGTAATCTGCTGGCACTGGAGTAATTAAAATGGGGACTCTAAAATAGGTTCATACAGTTCCAAGATTTAATTGTATTTATGTTAATTAATCAAAATGTATATAAATGCTTGCCTAAATATTATACAAATATTAAGTATAGAGGATGCTTCTCAGTTTTGTGGCACCACTTATTCAAACGGGATGCTGAAAATGCCAAATAAGACACTGTAAACTGCAAGGAGAGAACACTTCAAGCAGTGCTACCACGGAAATATTACTGAGGAAGAAATAGGACAAAATCCTGAAATCTGGGGTTTGATGAAAGAAAAGAAGGCAGTTGGCAGATGGAAAGTGGGATCCTTCTTCAAGCACAAGAAGCAGAAGGAAAGAAAGCATGAATTCAAGAGTGGGAAGGTGAGAAAAGATTTGGCAAAGTATAGAGAGCAAGGTAGGCAGCAGAAGAGATAACAGAGGGGTAGGTCAAAAAATTATTTACAGACTTGTAAAACAGGCTGGAAAACAGAAGTTTGAACTGGATTAGAAATAGACAAATAATAATTGTGACTATTAATACTTAAGAGTTTGTGCACAGCCAAATAAAAAAACCCTTCTGGTCAGGCTGGAAGCAGCGCTAGGACCTTTACTTTCTCTTAGACTCTGCTACAAAATCTTTACTGTTAAATTACAGGCAGTTGTCACTTGTCACAAACAGGATATCCCTATTTGACACCATTTACACAACTCCCACTAATGTTTAAGGAAGTTGCTTGTAAAATTCCCCAGTGTATCAAAAAGGAAATAAAGGCCATTATACTTTTTATCTTTGAAAGAAAATATTTATTGAAAATGGATAATAAGCAGGAAAATATCTTTCCTTGCATATAGCCTGGCTCATGTCAGAACAGTGCCTCTTGATGCAAAATGCCAAAGTTGCGGCAGCAGGCTAGGAATGTATCGACACACAGGAACTGGCTGATGGTGCTGCCATTCAGAGAGACCTCATCAGGCTGGGAAATTGGCTGAGAGAAACCTCATGAAGTTCAACAAAGGGAAATGCACTGGTAGATGTGGGGGGCCAACCTGATGGAAAGGACCTGCTGGGCTGCAAGGACCTGCATGAGCTAGCAACATGGCCTTCCAGCAAAGGTGGCCAACAGCATCCTGGTCTGCATTAGGAATAGCATCACGAGCAGGTCGAGGGAGGTGATCCTTTCCCTCTGCTCAGCCCTGGTAAGACACATTGAGAGTGGTGGATTCAGTTCTGGGCTTCCCTGTACAAGAGAGATGTGGATTGGAGAGAGTCCAATGAAGGGCTACAAAGATGATAAAATAACTGCTTAAATAAATACCTGACAGCGGGAGCAAAGAAGACAGAGCCAGACTTCTCAGTGGTGCCCACTGAAAAGACAGAAGGCAATGGGCATAAAGGAGAACACAGGAAATTCTGTTTAAACATAAGAAAATTATTTTTACCATGTAGGTGGTTAAAGACTGGAACTGGTTGCGGAGAAAAAGCCTCCATTCTAGGATACATTCAAAACCCAACTGGACGCAACCCTGAGCACCCTATTTTAGTTGACCCTGCTTTGAGCAGTGCAGTTTGGACTGGATGATCTCTGAAGGTACTTTCCCACCGCAGTGATTCTGTGAATTAAGGCGTGAAGCTTAAAAAGTGCAGTGCTTGCTTTCTTCTCTGGTCATGGGTACTGCACGTGCCAGCTTCTAGGCTGACATCTGTAAACTGAAACGAGCGCTTCATTTCTGCCTAAGTACAGCTGGTGTCAAGAGGCTGGCAGCTGTACACCAAAGTCTACCAACAGGCCTCATTTGGGAGGAGTACACTGACTCCACACAAGAGAATAATTCTTCCTTCCCTCCCCAAGTGTTTCTGCAGACAGTGTCTTTTATAAAGGCAGTGAATGCTGGTAACTTTTCTGTAATAGTCTATATTTCTCTATGTCAATAACTTTTCTATAATAGCCTGTATAGCTATAGGCATTGCATAATACTTCTACATGCCAATAACTTTTCTGTAATAGCCAAAGTGAAAGAGCAAAACACTTTCCCATAGCTCAATTCCCAGTCTGAGTGAGTTTAAACACACATCCACATCCCTCAGAGGACTGCTGTACTCACAAAGCTTTAGGCCACGTTGCTTGAGGCACTCTCCACTCTGCTGATCTCCACTGCCATGTAGCAGAGAATAACATGGTTTATGTAGCTCAGCAGGTAGAGCACACATTTGACAGAGGGTGCCTACTGGGGCTTGAGTTCTGCTCCAGGACTGAGATGCATTATACCCTGTGATGGCTTAATACAGATTGTAAGAGAGGATTGGATCTAAACCTTATGTACAACATGGAGGCAGGCCATTGGTACGCTTACATTTAAATAAGATAACAATGTTCGGTGAATTGCATCTGTTACACAAAGATACAAACTGACAAACAGGCCTTGCCATCACAGTTTGTTTTCTCTCTCTGTCAGAAAAAGCAGACAGGCCTATTTTAACAAACCAATTCTTGTGTCTCCTGCTGGTTTTACCTTCTGAGAATCATTCTGGAGTGGCATTTGTAAGAAAAGGTGGTGTAAGGGTAGCAGGTCATACAGTAGGGAACATACACTCCCTGTACTGCATATCACCATCTGCAGTCAAACCAAGATGACATTTCAGCATTTCTTTACCCTGCATGCTTTTTTTTCCAATTTGAATTATACAAGAGACCTCTTTGTGTGGTAAGCAACATCATTTCTATTTGTTGTATAATTTCTATTTGTTTTATTAGAGTGTATTTCTCTAATGACCTTTGACGATGTTAATGTTTTATATATTACAAAATAAACATTTGATCAAGGTTGTAAGCAGAGAGATTAACGCTGCTTTCACGGTATGGGCAAGTAAGAAATCCAACACACAGGAAACACTGATGTAGTCAAAAGGCTGCTTCAGATACTAAGAAGGTCAAATCAACTTAAATTACTAATGTAAGTTTGATATAAACAGCAGTCAGCCACCAAAGTCTGTATCTCCTGGTTTATTCTCTTTGCAAATCTCTCAGTTGTTGAATCCAAATTCAAAAAACAATTTACTTTTGTTCAACTTCTGGCTCACATCTGGGCTAAGGTAGAGTATCCTTGAACAGACACCTTCATGACTGCTTTGAAACGCCACAGACTGTCATCACTTTTCCCTTCCCTAGTGCAGTCTCTTTCAATTTCGGACAGGACTGCAGTTCCTAATCCTGCCAGTCTCTCAAGTGAGACCAGTACCTTCCCCCCC